GAGTGCGCATCTCGCGAGCGTACAAATTGAATTTTTGGAGAATCGACGAAAGGCTCGCGTGCATATGTTCTATGTGTACGTGTGTGTATTTTTGTATGCGTTTATGTGCGCACGCGCGTATATGTAGCTGTGACAATCGCGAAGAAAGCTCGAATGATCATTTTTAAAGAAAAACGAATAATTTTTGGCTCCACCGTTGTCGATTTGTCGATTCTTAATTTAAGTTCAATAAAAGCAATCGCATGTTATTAAAATGTATAGTGCGGGCGCGCGCGCGCATATGGACACTTACGATTTAACACCGTGACGATATAGGTACATATACAATATCGATTAATCGGTCGTTACGACCGTACTTATAATTGCATTTATTTATATATATATTCGAATATTTATATATATATATATATATATATATATTCGTTCATTTATAATATACTTAAACGTGCCGGAAGAGGCGCGCAAGAGCGCGCGACAGATAACCGATCACGCGTTTTTATTCACGTTTTATATAAAAGTGAGAAATGGTACAGAATTGGTCTGGAGTTTGCTGTACGGCCTCGTTTCGAGGATCCTCGAGAGTAAATCGCATTAACGCCTCGATCGTCCAGCGCTTTGCTCACTACTTTCTTCTCTCTGTCTCTATCTCTCTCTCTCTCACTCTCTATCTTTGTACACGCTTCTGTACGCGAAATAATTTCATCGCCACGATCGATTTATGCGAGATCACGGAGCACCGAGTCGAGTAAAGTTTTCAATCCCTCGAGACAGTGCCGAGGAAAAAGCTTTATAAAATAGCCTGACCAATTAAAATTCATTTTTACGCTTTCATTGTCAATAGATCGGATCGGAAAAACATTCACTCGTTCCTTCTTACTCATCCTTTCATTTATATTTTGTGTAATTTTACGCTTTGAGTAAATAAACATATAGGAATCGTAAAAAGATTTGTATTAGCAAAGTGACGTTATCGTACGATAAAAATATATTTATTAAAATAACTTTTGCGTGTTTTATTTTTCACATAGCCAATTGCAAATTGAAAGTAACCCGCGTCGGTTTTTATTCCTTTGAAAAAGAAGACTTTTTTTTTCGTTGCTAGATCATATCGCGTTCGATGATAAGACGCCTTTCTTGGAAACTTATTACATTTGCAAATTTATGTAGAAGCAAAATTACGGCGTCAAGTAATATACATATGTCTGTGTGCCGGAATAGAAAGGAACTGATTAAAGGAACTGAGTCAGGTAATTAAGTTTTTTCCTAGATAACAAAAGTCGATGCGCCAGCTGGCTTACGATTTAGCAAAGATATCGCACGGTTCATTTCGAAACGATTCGACATTTTCCATTGAACGAAATTGAAGAATACCGAGAGAGTTTGTTCTTTTGAGAAGAAAGAGAAGAAAAAACAAAAAGAAAGGAAAATTTCAACGCACGGGACGATCGTTCTGCGGATTAAAAATTGATCTTTGTAAAAGGATAAGAAGGGTAAACGATTCGAATGTCGATGAAATTTACGTGGTACTCCGTGTAGAAAAAAGTGGAACTGCGAAACGAGGGCGCAAAGAGGCGAATCGATATCATCGTTATTCTTCCGATTTCTGTCTTTCTACGAAAGCGCACCAAACATTTATTTTTCTTCTTTCAAGGTGCAAAAATGGTGGCCTTCTCGAGCTATTGGTCTCGAGCTAGCCATTCGATGTAGAATCTCGAAAGGAGTTAATACGAATTAATTATTTCCTCGAGGACGGACATCGCGGGATCGTATAGTCCTTGTTTAGTTTTCATGCGCGACTGCCCTTTTCCATGTTGCCGTGTTCCAGATTTTTTCACGACTTATCATTCATCGTTCTTCGAATTATCTACTTCCTCCCACCAATTGACGTAGTTTCTTTCTTTCGCTTTTAGAAGCACCTAAAAGTAAAGCTCCTTCTTCCCACCCCCCCCCGGTAGAGAACGATATATAGATATCGTTCGCCGTATCGTTACGCGCGATGAAACCGCCTAAATCTAAACATCAAAGTTATGCACGTTAATTAATTGTTAGATTCGATTAGAGGATACGATACATTTGCACAAGTCTTTAGATACGGAAGCATATAATATTGGACGTGTGTAGGTAGTACATGACGCGCGTATAGACGCGTATAATGTTAAGTACTTACGTCGTATGTACGCGACGAAACGCGACGCAGCTTTCCCGACATTTGCGTGGAAAGAAAAAGGGAGAAAGGAAATCGCTTCGTTTTCGTCGTTAAGAAATTCGGCAAAAACAATAGCTCGACGAGGACGATAAAACGATACGTAGGAAGACGGGATCGAAGAAAGAAGCGAAAATGAAAAAGAAGCGATCAAGGGAAATTGCAGTTTCATTTGCCAATGTTCATCTCGATACGAGGATGAATCGATCGTCGTCTTACGCGCTCGATAAATAAAACGGTATTGGCGATAACGCGAAAGAAAGGTATAGCGCGTCCTTGGATTCGTCCTTGGTCTTTATTTTTTTTCTTTTTTCTTTCGTTGAAAATATTTAGCTCGAGGAACTAGGTTCGTTGAGCGAGGCAGATTAATCGCGAGACAATTTCAGACAAAAATAATCAGTGTCGGTGTGTGCGTGCGCGCTCGTACGTCGTCCATATGTATTCGCCGCGTTTCTACCGTCCATAGGTGGTAGTCAAATAGTAATTAGAATCATCCTTCTCCCGTTCCATATACTCGTACACACACTCGTAGACGAACGAAACTTCCTTAATAAACTACGCTTTATAATACTATCGTAAATGTACGCTCGAACAGTATTTCACGCGCCTTCCTATATTCTGATCCTGCCAGTTTCAATAGTCATGGTATACACTTTTGTGTGAATTCGCGTAATGAGCCACGTTCCATTAGCGACGCAACGGAGCTATTCGCGTAAATGGATCACCCAATGGAAGTGGAATCAACCGACTATCCTCTTATGGTCTATTCTAAAGTTGCGAGACCGATCAACGAACGTTTCGTTTCGTTTCGGACGCAAGGCGCGTTCCGATAAACCGACCAAGAAACGATATCTCTCTAGAGTAATAGCTGCGAACAGTTAGGCGTTTTGAGCGCTTTCGCGTCAACGTAACCAACGTAACGTGTGCGTGATTTCAACGAGCGTCCGTAAGGGCGACACGTTCGTTGTGCACGAAATGACGTTTTTGGCCGTGCCTGCGAGATCTACATACGTGGCTCGTCCCTTAATAAGAATTCGTCTTTCTTTTTCGTAACACTACGTGATTAAGCGCGTGGTCGAGTCTCGATCCGATAAAAAAGGAAAATGGTCGGACATCGTATACGATTTTTTTCTCTTTCTTTTCGAGATGAACTCGAAGCGAAAGATCCTTCTTTCTTGGATTCTTGTCTTTTCCGCTCGTCTATCGAAAGCTCTTCGATTCCATCCGCTACAAGTAATGTCGTAATTAGAAACGATCGGATTACCTATAGATACGGAGAAGCGGGTGTTACGTATAATCCACGCGATTAGACCCGCGTCTTTCCGTACGATGAGACACTTAAGAGATCAACGACAAGTCTAATTACTTTGGACGCTTCGGAAATCATCGAATTTAGAGAAAAGATAGACCAAAAAATATTCTTTCTCGTTAGAATTTCAAATTACGCGCTTACGAGTCTGTAAAAGTTTCTCGCCCTAGGCGTTTATCGTTCAAGCCGTAAATTAGCCTCGAAATATAGGAACTAATGCTATTACGAACAGTCATGCGAGTCGGATATACATATATGTAGGTATACGATACGCTAAGCTTTCTCGCGATAGATATCGGTATATTCATCTACAGCGGGTATTCGTCCGCGATGCAGATCGCGCAGGCAGATCCCGAACCTACTCGTTCTTCCAATTTTCATCTTTTCTCTTCGTTTTTCCCTTCTAACGATAATACCTTGAAAGCGTATCAATTGATAAAGCACCATCTAAATGAACTCCTATATGTATGTATGTACATACATATATATATACATATATATATACATATATATATATATATATATGTATATGTATATGTATATATATGACACGTTATTAGGTGAGCTTCCTCGGGCGACGCGACGCGACGAGCGACTCGATGGTTGCGTCGATTATGAATACCTGTATGAGCATCCAACGGCGATTTGTATTCCTCTTTTCCTCCCATGCGTGTTAGCTTCTTATAGGAATATTATTTAGAGACAAGCGTCAATGGTGTTGCACTCGAATTGACAAAGATACATTCGTAATTAGAGCGATGATTCCTTGAACGCTCCTTTAATCTTCCTCATGGGCATCGTTATAATCTATTACTGTGGTAACGTACTGTGGTTACCCGATAGCAAAGCTTGACTCGCAGTTTCGCGTTAAGTATTGTTAAGTATTGACTGGATACGCGCGCGTCACAAAGAGGTGGACGCGGCCTTAAGATAAGCCTTAAACTCTTAGATCGCTCTTATCGTCTAGATAGATCCTTTTCGGACGTGTAGCGTACTCGATACTCGAGGTAGATAATGCCTCGCGCGGTAAGTGAGAAATGCGCGAAGAAACGGAATTCGAAGCTTAAGTGTAGTCGAAAATATCGTAAGAAATAATCGTTAAGTATCGTTCGGAGAATACCGCGTTGCTCTTTCCTCCTCTTTTTTTCGTCTTTTTTCTTTTCTTTTTTTCTTTTTTTTTAATTTTCTTTACTTTTTAACATTGACGGAAGTATAGAGAGAGAGTATAAAAAGTGTTTGTTTGTTGGTTCTCATAAGCTCGTTTAGATTTTTGTTTCTTTTTGTTTCTTTCTTTCTTTCTTTCTTTCATTCTTTCTTCTTTCTTTCACTTTTTTTTTTACGGAACAAGGTGAGATCTGAGATGGAAAACTAAACTCGACAAAGTAAAGTTTCCATAGATACGGAAAAAGATTAGGACTTGACCCAGCTCCCGAATCTCGAGTACGCTTTACAGAGATTTTCGTGTCCTCACTTGATCATTATACTCACCGCCGTGGGTCCCTGAGAAATGGTCGCAGCTTCTTTCGATGCTTCCTCGATCTCCTTGAGTTTCTCTTCCTTCCGTTCCTTCAAAGTTTTTAAGAGCTTCCATTTGGAGCCAGGTGGACCGGGACTAACCTGGCCCTCCTTCAAGATGGTAACGTCGGCTGCACCGGCGCAAGATGAGGAATCAATCTTGATCTTGGGTAGGCCCAGATTCGTATCGGTCTCGGCAACATCTCGCTCATCCAACGTCTCACCGGCGGCGAGTCCAACGGTCAGGCTACCTTCGCGAGATAGGCTTTCCGTACCTCGAAGAATTTTCTCCTCTTGTCGTAGGACAGATATGCCGCTTGAACTTCGTCTTGATTGTCCCTCATCGAGATCCTTTTGTAATTCACCTCTTTCCTCCTCGTCCCGAGCCGATCTTCTTGTCCGGTCGCTCTCTCTTTTTACCTTTTCTTCTTCCTCCTCCTCCACCACCTCCTCGTCCTCCTCCTCGTCCTCCTCCTCCTCCTCCTCCTCCTCCTCCTCCTCGATCTCGTCGTCGTCCATCGATCGTCCAGGACTATCAGGACCGGACGTCTCGCCCGAGGAGGAACCATCCTCGGTCCTCGGGGACGTAGCGGCTCTCTCCTTTCTCGCTTCCTCTTCGTGCGCCCACGTGTGATAGTCCGTCACTCGAGCGAACACAGCCTCTATACTCTCGGCCGATTTTCTCTTAGGAATCGGCTTCTCGTCTCTCGGATATCTATCGGCGACTTCCTCGATTCGGCGTTCCTTGATAACGGGACCGTTGGTTTTGGCAGCTCGTAAAATTTCCTTATCTTCCTTCAGGTCGATCTTCGAAGGTCTCGCACCGGCGGCCTTCATTTTGAGCTCCTTCAGCACGCAAGACATCCTCTCCTTTACGGCGTCGTCCGGTTGATAAGGCTCGTGTTCCTCCGGTTCCTCCACCAAGACCTCGCTCATTTCCATATCCATTTGCGATTGCCTTTCCAGCTCCTCGAGTTTACGCAACTCGTAACAGTACCACTCGTCCTCGGAATCGATCGAGTCCTCGGTGCTCTGCCGTCTCGACGATACTCTCGAGGTGCTTCTGTAAGAGTGCGTACTTCTATTGTCTTCGTCCTCACCGGAACGGCCGCCTCCCCAAGGTATCTCGAGGGATTGTTGATGTCGAGGAAGAAATCGCGTAACGGCGCTCTGAACGAATCCTCTCGCGCTCGATGCCGAAGGGCTACCCTCTGACGGTGGAGCTTCCTCCGACAAATTCGTTACCAACTCGGGTAATCGGGCGCTACCTGACTTTTCGCTCTTCTCGCTCTTCTCCG